TATCCCATGTTGAAATTTTTCTCCGTTGCGTGTCGCTTCGCGTTGAATTTTCGTCGATGTTAAACCTAACAAAGACTATTGTATCGTTAAAAATTATTTTTTTATTTTGTACAAACAAAATAAATATATTGAAAAAGTATAAAAACAATAAAAAAAACTTATACTTCAGATGTTAATTTAGTATCAAAAACGTAAAATATTTGAGTAGCCCAAGACATAGCCAAAGATTGAAGCACCACAGCACTGGCGAAAATTTAAATTTGCCGACTGAAATTCTTTCGGATGATTGACTTTTGGAAAATCGACGCTCTACTGTATTTTTTAAAATTAAAATTTAACTACAAACAGAAATAGTCACTTTTGGTGGTTAGTTAATATGTATGTTACCGGCAAAACCCAATTTCAGGCCAAACTAGTTTATCCTACGCGTGTCAGGATATACTAGTTTGTCCTAGGCCAAACTCATTTAGAATTATTATTTAAGTCAGGCCTGGCCAACCCAAATTGTTTTGCGGGACACTTTGATCAAGCATAACATTACAATGGGCCACAATTTAAGTAAACATGCTTTTAAAAAAAGTAAAGCAAATACAAAATGAATAAGATTTCATTGTTATACCAAGAGTTTGTACTCACACTTGCACGTTATAACAATGACACATGCAAATTTTCATTTATTTAATTGTTTTGGTATATACAAAACGGAAAACGAAAGTTTTAATAGATATATAATATCGCTTAGTGGGCCACATAATTTAATGTGACGGGCCGCAGGCTGGCCAGGCCTGATTTAAGTATATTAATGGTTAAAATAAAATTAAAAGGCAATCAATTAGATGAACAATACAGTAGATCCCCTCTATAACACTGTTGATTATTCTGTTTTATTTGAATTCCATGTTGTACGAGTCACTTAGATTTTACAAATACATATTTGTAAAATCTAAGTGACCCATACAACATGGAATTCATATAAAACGGAATTATCAACAGTGTTATAGGGGTCTACTGTATTTAATCAAACATAGTCTACTTAATTATAAAAAATGATATTGATTAGAAGTGACACAACACTTGTACAAAACTATAAAATAAAAATAAGCTAATCAGTACTTATCAGTTTGTATTTTTTTTATTAAGCGATCATTTGGTAAGCCATGCACTTTTAAAGGTAATTATCTTTCGAAAATATTTTCAAAAATTCAGACAAAATAATAAAAATAACTTTTAAAGTCAAACTAAAATTAAAAATGAACTTGTTTGTGTTTCTTAGTGTAACATATAAAATATTTAATCTTTTATTTATTTTTACAGGGTGGGTTAAAGTGTACCTAGTGGTGGGTTAAACTCCAATGACAACACTTTGGACTGTTTTTGCTCCCAGCAGACTCCTCCTGGAGGGGAGCCGCCGGCAGGCCGCCCATTGTTTAACGTCACTAGTTATTGATCTACGGTAGTTCTTGAACAAAAGAAAAAAAAGGAAATGTCTACTAAAAATGTAGTTAACCGAACTAAACCAACCTAACCGAAGCACCACCATTGGGGTTACCTAGGTACATTTTAACCATTGGGTGTACTGTGGTGGCATTTCGAATTACACAAAATAATTTTTTTTTACACTGGAACCAATTTGTAGTAAATAAATCAGTTCGGCCTAGATCAAACTAGTTAAGCCTAAAGTATTTAGGCCAAACTAGATTATCCTAGGCTAAACTAGTATATCCTGACATGCGTAGGATAAACTAGTTTGGCCCGAAAACGGGTTTGGCCAGTAACATGTATATGAATTTGCATATATAATACCTTCATGAAAATTCTGCTATTTAGATTATCACCATCACTATGTCATAAAACTTGTAATTTTCGGTAACTCATCACCTCAGTCCAGATTAAGTCAAGTTTGCTGGACTCTAATCAATATTAGTAAACAAATGTTCTGATCTAAAACATCAGATCTGAAGATTATTTGAATAACTGACTAAATTGTAGAAAATACCATTGTTGTATATCCTGTTACATATTGAATTAATACATTTTTTCTGTTGTTGCATATGGCCAATAACTGTATAATTTTGCATTTTAATTAAAAATTTATTATGTACATGAAAATTTTAAAAAATTTCTTTTGTTCTCAAAAAACAATAATTTCATTTATGTCAGAAAAATTAAAGAATTATAAAATATTAAATAAACCTATTTTAATACATGGTACGCTCAAAAAGTTTTGAGAATTAGTCGAAAAAATCAAATCAAGTTATGATATAAAGAAATTTATTTAATATTGGTTTACTTTAAAAATCATATAATTTTTTTTATTTATTTTATATGGGTTCTTTAAACCATTTAAAAAGAAAATGGTTTAAGTTGATATAATTTAANTTACAACAGTTCAATTATCAATAAACTTTGATAAAGAATTTTTTCCAGACTGGAAAAATCATTAGAGAAAGTGCATCAAAGCTCAGTTATTTTTAAAAATATTAAGTTAATTTCTTTATATCCTAATATGTTTTACCTATATCTTTTTGATTATTATCTATCACACAACTAATTACACATCAAAAATATATCCTACTTATATAAGACTAATCAATTTACATGAAGATTTTTGGAACAAATTAACAATATGATTTGGAGAATATTACATATAAATTTGACAATAATTTACCATTTCATAAAATGTAGATTGTAAAGTATTTTAAATTTAGCATTTTTGATACGATAAATGTAACTAATGATATAATAATTAAGAATATGGATTAATTAAATATTTTAATCCAAAAATTAAATTTACTTGTTGAAAATTGAAAAAAAAAATTCAAGCCATGAAGGGAAATTAAGGAAAATTTGAGAACAAGTTAAATTATAGGGTAATATTATGAATAATAGAAGAATTTAATAAAATTACACTTAAAAATATTTTATATATTCATTATTAAATATACACAGTTAAAAGAATATAATCGTTAAATACCATGCCAAATCCAACCGTGAGCACCCCAAAGCGTAGCAATAGTATTTCGAGCACCGTTCCAAAAATCCCTAGAATAAGCATCCTTCAGCCTATGTCTATAGCGATACAGATATAGAAAGAGAGCTGATAAATACAGCAAAAATATTATCACAAGTGGAAGTAAGAAAGTTACCTGTAAAATCATAAAATGATTATTAAAGCTATTAATACAATTTTTGTCGTAAAAGGAAATATTAATTTTGAAATAAAAAAACTTTACTAAACTTGAGATTTCATAATTTAGAAAATACAAAACTAGAAGTATTAATTTTTTGACATAAATATTATTAATATTTTCATTTAATTTTTATAATATAAATTAATATATATTTCATGAATGGACAGCAAAAATAAATATTAAGTTACCCTATTCTTGCACAATAATAATTTGTTAGATTATTTGTTTTATCGAAGAAGATATAATTGAATTACTTAAACTGTCAATGTACAGTATTAATAATGGCAGAATTGTTGATAATTTCAATAAAAATATTTCAACATTTATTAGCTATAAACAATGTATACTATTTAGAAAAAAATGGAAAAAGTATAAAATTTGATATTTACAAACTTTAAATTATAGATATTAAATATAACATTTTATTACAAGTATCTTCTGTGATATTTGTAATAAAATATTCGTGTAATAAATGAAAATATACTTAAAATAGTATATTTTCACTGTCAAAAATAAATATAGTCAACTTTGTTCACAATTGAATTATCATTTACACATAATTGTTTGATTTAAGTAAATATTACTGACAAAATTATATATAAAGTAGAAAATGATCTATTAATAATTATTTTTGTCTTATTAGAGATAAATATTTATTTAATAAGATAATAAGATAATTAACTAATAACTTAATTATTATCTCATATAAGAATTACTATACTAAAAATCTTTAATCTCAAAGGTAACAAAAAGCCTTCTTCTAGAAGTCTCAACTTTTAAGCAATTTAATTTTTTCAAAGTGTAAATCTCTTTACTTTCAGAATAAACAATCTTTAAATTTATTTTGTATAAATTTTTTATATTTTATGATTAATTAATATTATACTTTTCAAATCAATTATCATTTTTTTAGAAAAAAAGTATTTTCCTTTTCTACATACTTGACTTTAGAAATTTAATTACATTATATATGTAAATATTTATAAAAATTAATGTTTATATTATATATATATTCATTATTTATACTTAAAGAGTTGTCCTTGTGCATGAAGATGATAATCTAAACTTATCAAAACTCTTATAAATAAACTCTTTTCAATTTGAATTTTTAATATATATATTCTTTTGTTTTAACATTTCAAGACAGGCTTTTAATTTATAATTAAATCACTAATATAATATTTAAGTTATAATATTATCTTTATTATTTTTAAATTTATATTCACAGATTTACAAACTGATTACTAATAAATTATTTTTCATAAATTTGTAGATTTTTTTATAAAATTTAGAAATTAATTATAAAAATAT